TCTCTGTTCTGTTTCGCATCAGCAGATACTTCTTCCTCGATTCGGTGCTGCCCATTCTTCCGTCACGCCGTCCGTCTGTCACTAGCACTGCAGAGCGCCACTCAGCTTGTGAGTTCTCCTTCTCCCCTGGTCGCGTCGTCTCCGCACTGGTGGGGTGAGGTTTCGTTTCTTCATCCTTCTTCCTCTGTCACGATCTAGTGTTGGGTTCTTTTAAAAAAGAGTGGGGAAAACACACTCCTCCTCTCCTAGCGTCGTCCATGTTAAGTGCTGAATTATGGGTTGATTATTATTGTCTCTTTCAGCTGCCGTGTGTGAAGTATAGGAGATGCTGGAATCCAAGCAAGCTAAAATCTAAGTTTAAGGAATTCTTTTTTTAATGGGTGATTTCACTTCAGTTGCTCTAAGGAGATGGGTTTAGATTTGGTTTTCTTGAGTTTAAATTAATTCGATGGGGAATCAAATTGAAAAGCGTGATAATTTAAATATTGATGGTTTGGAGATTGTTGGGCATGGTTTGGAAATTTTTGCACACAATGTGATCGCTAAGAGATCTTAAGAGGAAATCATATCTCAATTGAGCAATTAGCTACGGCTAAAGTTGTGATGAAGAACTTCAATGAATAAGTGTTGGTGTTCTGGGAACTATGAATTATTTTAGTTGATTGTGGTCGTGTTAATGGTGGATGAGGGTCTATTAAATTTATATGAAATCTACTAAAATTCTTTACATATTTTTACAGGGTGTTTGGAGAAAGAGAAACATGATAAAAGTTGTAAGGAGTGAATTTAAAAGGGGGGCCCATCATATCTTTTGCGTATTGAATATTATGTTAACTAAACTACCCTGGCTAGTGAAGTTATAATATGTATAGTGAAGGATAATTAAATTACAATATGTGGATGTACATTTCTTTACAGAATATGCTTTGACAGCTGACAAAAACATTTTACTATAAATTCTAGTAACTTTTTATTTGATAAAGACAATCAAGTAGTTTTAATGTTGTTTTTTACGTGTGGAAAATTGATGTCAAACTCTTCTTTTAAATTTGTCATGGACTTAGAGTGGAAATGTGTCTATTTGGTTGTTGAATATTAGCCTCAGCTGATTTAATAAGTTTGGGTAGATTCTTAAACAAGTGTAGATTTAAATTAGTTACCTGTTTTTTAATTATTTCATCTTTTTATATTTACTTTTATTTTTTTTATTATCTAAGGTATCTCCACAATTGATCGTTGTGGGAGATGAGACTAATTTTTTAAGAAATCTAAGCGTTATTTAAAGGGTTATCATATTTCAATGATTATATTTACCCTTATTTAATAAGTTATTTTATTTAAAAATAATTTATTTATTGAGGGTATTTTGAACAAAATTAACTATATTTTAAAATATTAAAAATACCTTACATTTTTAACATTTAATCTTTTTAAAAATACTTTATATTTTTGAATGGGTGTATATATATATATATTATATATAATTTGGCCTCCCAACCCTCTAAGTTTTGGTTCCACCCCTACTTACGTTATTGGATATTTTGGTCAAAATAAATTATTCTAGCTTTCAAAAATATATATGTTGGAGGGAAAAAAAAAAGTTTATACAAGCTTAAACAATATTTTTCCTTTTTTTTCTCTTTTTTATTGGGCTCAGTATCCTAAAAAACTTGGGGATATTTTCGCCTCCCACCTAGACTAATTTGAACTCTTTCTATATGAGATCATGATTATCAACAGCAGTGCCATAGGTACTTTAGATAATTTTGATATATTTATTTAACATGATTATATATTTTAAGAATTGAACTCGAGATTTTAAAGTAAAATGATTTAACTCTTTTGATCATTGAATCAAGTAACAAGCTTAGTTTAATTTTTTGGGCACTATTCTCAAGTTTGTTCATGCAATTTCAGTCATATTTAGTTTATTATTTACTAGACTATATGTTCACATTTATCTTCAAAACTTTAAGTTGTATTTGATTCGTTGGTTATCCTTTGAGTGTTGATGTGTTTGAAAGTAATACTTTCTTTAGTTTTTATTATATTGATTTATTATGAAAATATTTTTCTTATAAGATTGAAAATATATTAATTTTATTACTTTCCAATCATAATTTGATCACTATCAAGTTAATAAACCTTACTTTATAGTTCCAAATAAATTAATTAATTTAAACACTAACAAAATAAAAATCCTAGTGATAATTGAAATTTAGGGTCCATAGTCTTTTGCTTTTGAAAAACAAAAATTAAAAAATACTCATTTAAATAAGCATTCTAAATTTAATTATTTTTAAAATTGTTCTCAATTTTGTTTTTTTAAAAATGTTTAATTAAATATATTATATTTAATTATTAAAAATTATAGTCACATTCACCAATTACTATCATACACTATTATTATTAATTGTCACCAATTTTTAATTATATAATTAATTTTTAAATTAACATAATTAAATGAATTTTTTTATTCTGTTTTAAAAATTTTTAAAAAATATATTGTAAAACATTTTTTAAAATAAAAAATAAAACAAAAAGCAAACAAGTCTTTAAATACCTTATTTGTAATTGAATATATATTGTAATCAAACAAGCATTTAAACCAAACAAAAACTAAACAAAAACTATGTTGTAATTATATGAATAAATATTCTTAACTCATTTTTGTATCATTAATTCAATTTTTCGAAATATAACTGTAATTTTTTCAAACATTTTTGCTCCATTACCAATAATAATTACTTAAAAATTGACTAAAAATATAAAAAATGAGTAATTTATGCGTGAAGTCGCCAATTTCATGAGCAACAGCAAAAGTGCAGGCCCATCAAAAGTCATGGGCTCACTCTATGCCAAGCTACAGTGGTTTAGGCGGGAAACCGTGAAATTTTCATTCGCTTCCCTCTTCCCTTGCAAACTGAGGGGGGAATGGCCAGATGCGGAAGCCAAACGTTGAGGGACTGAAGAGCCGAGCCAAGCCGCTGCCTTCTCATCGTTCTTTCTTCATTCTTGGGGCGTCTCCATCCAGTCTTCTCCGTCTCAGAGCTCGCGTGCGTCCCCTACTTCGTTGTGCTCTTGAATCAGGTGCGTCGCTTTTCTATTTGCCTTCTTTGTTCTGGTATGGTTCTTTGTACCCTTTATTTTGGTTCCCTTTTATGGTTCTTCGTTCTGGCTCCGCTCGTTCTGGACTCTGATATGGTTCTTTGTTTATTTGTTCTGACTTGGTCTTTGTGCTTTCCTTGGATGCTAGTCGCTCACTTTGGGAACATTTCCCCTATCCCTATTCTTTTCCCACTTGCCCTCTTGCTCTTCTTCTCACGCTGCTTCGACTGGTTCTCCTTGGAAGCGGAAGATTGTTGTGTTGCTGCTATGGAGAGGTCGGGTATCGTCCTCTCCGTCACTGGTGGCGATTTGCGTCGATTCCCCACTTCAGGATGGAATACCTTGAAACTCCCGGCTTGTTTGGTTGAATGGAATGCCCGAATGCAATGCAATGTTTTTATCAATGCATTGTCTCATATTCTGGTTGCTGATCATTGTGGCTTTTTTTTTAAGAGCTATTTTTTGAAAAGGGTTGTTATATTCTGGTTGCTAATTTCTCTTCGCCGCTCTTCTGTTTTTCTTGCTAGCATTAGTCGCACCGCCGTGTACCTGAGCTCCAGATTCGGTGGGATTGAGCATCGTACAAGTGGCCGTTGCCTCCATTGCCATTAATTTCCACACAAGTGATGCTTGCTTTGCCTCATTCCCGTTTCGTGGGGTCTTAAGCCCTTCAATTTGATATAGTGACTACTCTGTGTTCCCTCTACAAGGTAGCATTCTTGCACTGATGGAGAACGCAGCTTTCATTTTTCATGTTATTACACTTTTGAAGCTGTTTGATTTTGGTTCTGTGTAAATGTTCGTTTCTGAGTTGCTTCCTTCTTCTGATTCTTCTCTTTTAGTCCTGAATTCTACTTTATTTTTGTAATTTGACTCATCTTAAGGTGGCCTTGCTTGCTCCTAATTAAAATCAGCACTTCTTTAATTTCTTTCTTTCTTTCTTTTATGCCATCGTGCTGAGTAGTCTGATGTTCCGTTTTTGCTCTGGGTTTTCATAGTGCAAAAGCTTTGGATATCTGTCCATGCCTCCTAGGAAGAAACCCAGCTCTTCTAAGAAATCGAATCTGAGCAGCCAGGCTCAGCCTTCTAAGTTCGGCATTCAACATTTTTTTGAGCGCCACACCCAGAATGCTCTTGTGGCCTCTCAGAAGCAGCCAAAAAATGATCCAGCTGCGAACCGTCCCATTTCTGCTCCCCAAGATTCCAAGTCTGTTGCATCTCCTAACTCTCATATTCCACCTGTTGCTGGGTCGCAAGCTGTCGCTCCAAACAATTTAGATTCCGTTCTTGCTAGAGCTGAAAGTAAATTGAACTCAGACTTGGCTGGGCCAAAAATTGAGAATTCAGAATCGCAAAAGCGTAAAGACACCCCGCAAGTTGGAGCAAATGAATACAATAACGTTTCGCAGAATACTCCTTCAGAGAATTTGTTAATACCAGGGTTTGATGCTGTGGAAAATCTCCCTGAGGCGTCTCCGGAAATTTCCAAGATTGTGCCTCATAAGCGCTTTAAGTTCTCGCCTGGGATGGTATTTGCTTTAAACGATGTTTTAGACCTTTTTTTTTTTAAAAAAAAAGCAATTGATCATTTCGCTCCCTTTCTCCTAATTATTAAACGGATTGTCGGTTCTCAGTTATTCAAAAGTATCACTTAAATCCAACGGGTTAGGACTCAGTTGGGATAGCTAATCAGTTATGGAAATTTGAAGTTTATTTTCCGAGAATACATTTTCAAAAATGTTTCACTTGTACCTGAATTAAAACAACAATTTTTATTGCTTTTACTTTTAACTTGGAAGTGCTAAAAGAAGCACATTTTCTTTGTGACTACCTTCTTATGCAAGTTGCTGATTAAATTGCAAGTTTACATCTTTGCTTGTTTCCTTCAATGTTTCTAATTATATCTTTGCAAAAATATACTTGTGGATAGTTAATAAAACAGAGCCAGGATGATGGGGTTGATGAAGTCACATGGAAGATATCTCCTGTGAATGAAAGACTTCAAGCAGTTTCAAAACACATGCCTCAGATGATTCAGGCTTTGGCTGAATCTTCTAGAATCAACTTATTGCCCGTTGGGATTTCCTCAGAGAATCAGGCAAGTGTTTGAGGAGACACTGTTAATTTCATGTTTTATCGTTTAATATGGTTATAAATTGCCAATGCATGGTGCAGACTTCTCTGACTAAAGGTGGCAAATTTGAAAAGATACTTGCTTCACCATCTACAAAGGCTGCTGAGAGGTCAACAGTGTTGAAGAATGAAAAAGGCTTGAAACGTATAAACGCAGACCAAGACATGGTTTTTAACGTCAGTTCAACTGCTGTGAATGGTTCTGGAGTAATTACTGTACAGAGCCCCTTCCGAACTCCGCCATCTCTATCCTATTGCTCTGATAAGGTATTTTAATCTTCATAGTTTATTGGTCCTATTGATCTGTTATTTCATCAATTTATACTATACATTTCAGAATATAAAAATATGTAATAGTGGAAAACCTCTCCAACGATGTAAGACAGGATATAAAATTCTTGGAAAAGTTTTTCTTATTTATTTTATTTTATTTTTCAACATGCTTGTATTTTTCTGGTCACCTTCCCGTCTTTCAAATAATGCTTTTTAGTACCATCTTCATTTCATGTTGAATTTGAAGGTGCAGCTTGTCAGGGATGTTGAGCACAATGGACTATCTGACCAGCTTTATTTAAGACAGCATAAAAAGGTCAGGCCTTTGGACTTGCTTTTGCAATATTAATTCATTCAGATCTAGTTCACTGAAATTTGCAAATTTGAGGCATGTGGTATTAAATAATTCCAGTTATAATATGTAAATTGCTGTTTGCAACACCTTGTGCCTGTAGTAACAAGGGCATTAATACTTTTCCCTGTCTGATAGTCTACTATATTCCTTTTGAAAAACAAGATATAGAGGAGCTAGTTAGAGCTAGACTAGCAAGGAAAAGAAAATGCTTTGGCTTCTGAGTGGGATGACAGGAAACATATGACAAAGGAAATGCATCCCGAGCAATTTACATATGAAGAAAAATAATTACAGTTTCCTGCGTGCTGGTTGCATGGACAATTTCTTCAAAACTGTCTCCTGTTCTTGTCCTACCAATTGCACATGTTTCTTCTGTTTCGTGAAAAGGGGCTTGTGACCTTTTACGCGCCAGACTATATAGCAGTTAAACCTCAGGAGTTACAATGCTTGCGGAAGCCACACATTCATTAGAGTATTTCTTTTTTCTTTATTTCTATAGGCATTGCTTGAACTGTTAGATCAAGTCGAAGATGCCATTTGTGTTGAAGATGCTACAATCTGTGATAAAAGTGCAAATTACATTAAGTCTCAAGATGGAATTGCTGATAATCTGCCCATCAGAGTTGACTCTGCAGCAGAAAGCACTAGAATTCATAAGCCCAAAGAGGCCCTTGGTGGGTCCAGTTCTAATTATTTGGTCTTGGAGGTATTTTTTTCTTTGAAATTATGGTCTGCTATGAATAAATTTTTTATCAACAAAATTTATATTCTCGTAGGCTTACCACTTGTATGTTTTGTTATAGGTATCTGAAAAACATAGTCTTGCTAATTCATCTGCTTTGCAAGGCCCATACAAGGTTTATTAAGGCTTATTGCTATAACACCGCAATTTATTGCTTCTAAAGATCTTGTAACTGATTTACATTTACTTGATAAATTGCTTCTAGGTGCTTCGTTTAATAAATGAACAAACTGGAGAAGAGAAGGCTGCAAACTTGTTGGAAGAGTGGTAAGTTGGTGTGCTTAAATCTATGATTGTTAATCAGTATAGTTGATCGTGTGTATATATATATATATGTAATAGTTCAAAACAAGACATTATTTGGTATGTCAAATGGTTGTTATTTGCTGACTCCAGTTGAAAAATCTTGACTAAGTATTGGTCTTGGAATTTAAATGAATTATTTGATTGATTTTGAGTTTTTTTATTATTCTCTGTTGATAATAATTTTGAATAATTATAGTAATTGTTTAAAATTATTACAGGTCTTACAGTGTTGTTGCACCCGGAGATACTGTGAATATAATTGGTCAATTTGATGATTGGGGGCATTGTGATGTAGATCATGATAATAATTTTTTGATTGTACACCCAGATATTCTGGTGTCTGGGTCTCGGGTATTTATGATTTGCTATCTTGAAACTATATTTATTTATTTATTTCTGTCCATGACTTTCCTTATTTTATTTACTTCATTAGATATTTTTTATATGATATGGTAATTTTACAGGATCAATGTTTCCTAATTCTCTCTAATTGGATAACTTTTATCTTATCGGAATTTCATTTATAAAATGAGAATGCCAATATTTGCTATTGTAGAAATGTTGCTTTCTCTTCCCTATAAATGGTCTTGTTATTTTTAAACAGAGATTCAGAGGATCTTTTTTGAATCCCTTTTCCAGTTTTTTTTTTCAATGTTTATTTCACTGTTTTTTATTTTATATGTTTCCTTCTGATATACAGAATTATTCCAGGTAGCTGCTAGTTTTACTTGTCCAAGGAGAACTGTCTTAGATGAGAGGCTAAAATGTAATGAGCACTCAATTGCTGCATTAACTGGAACCTTACTTCACCAAATTTTTCAGGTCTCTAAAGCTCCTCTACCTTATAAAGTTATCGCATCTTTATAATTATTTTACTGTGATGAAGCATGCATCGAATTTCAGATTCATTTTCTCCTTCTTCCTTTGTTTTTTAATGGGATGGGGGATTTGATGGGGATGACAGGCTGGACTTATCAAGGATAGTCCTTCAATAAACTTCTTAGAGGAATATGCACGATTGGTACTCCAGAGAAACATTGAAAGCTTGTATGCATGTGGAGGTGAGGGTTTGTGTATGTATTTATATTAGTGTGTGCGTGCATGTGTGTGACATGCATAGCTAGTTCTTACTTTGAGCTGCGAGTTTTTTCCAACCCCTGGTTGCAACCATAATCATCAAAAGGCTGGATAAAATTCAGTGTTCGTGTGGCTCATTCTTAGCATCTTCGTTGTAACTTGTTCAAAATAAGTTTTTGATCTGTGTTCTGTATCATCAGGAGTATTAATTTTTGCCTTTGTGGATATTTCAGTAAATGAAAATGATGTGCACAAAACCTTGATAGACGCCATTCCACGAATATTAAATTGGATCAAACTGTTCAAGAATTCAGAGGTGCGTTAAAATATCTCTAGCTTTTGTCCATGAACTATCAACTATCATTAGCTGTTGCCTTTTGGAATGCATGTCATTGCTTTTTGCCGCCAAATGTAACTTACAACAGTACTGCACGGCTTTGTGATCTTTTTGATATAGGTATGAACAATGCTTACAAAATAACATGAAATTATGCTTATTATTTGGCCTATCTTAACAATAGTTTTACGTCTTGAATGGTTAGGATTTATTGGCAAGAATTGTAAAGAGTCTTGAAGAATAAAGGATGATTATTTTGTGACTCCTATGATGCTCACCATGCCTATGACACACATCATTGGGCTGTCAAAGCCTTAAAAGAAGAAGAAAAGAAAAGGGAATCATGTTAAAAGCATTTTTAACGTAGATGCATGGGTTAGTGCAAAATGTCGACTTGAAAATGGGAAAAGTAGGCTACTGTATTCATATTTTGTGTAAGTTTGTTTACCGACAGAAGATTATTTAAGCTATGTTTTGTTAGAACTAAGTGATATTTTACAATTGTAAACGCATAACACTATTCAATTCATTTACTCATTTAGAGGGCCTCATCCCTTATTCATAAGCTACTATTGGGATACTCCATTTGTCCCATAGTATAGGAAATTGATAATTAATTCACGATTCTAAAAAAAAGTTAGTTGAAACTTTGATCTATTAAAAAAATTTCATCTTTCCAATTATACCCTCATTAAATATTCTATATAAGTGCCTTGATAATGACAATTGAAATTCTTATGAATCAATTTTCAAAAAGAGTAATAAATGAAGTGGGGGTATAATTGGAAAAATAATTAAAAAAAATTATCTGATGCCTTAAATTTTTGGATCAAGCAAGGCTTCTAGAAGATGCCTTATATTGTGGTTTGGAGGGAATACAAGTTATCTAACAGAATAACATCTACTAATAAATAGCTAATCCTAACTAATCCCAATTAACAATACTTCCCCCCTTTGAGATGATCCTTGCTGTCAATGATCTATGCGATAAAATTTTAAAATTCATTGGTACATTTCAAAATCTGTATTATTGTTTAGAGACTCTTGATTTGCACAACTCTATGGCTCAATGTAGAATCCTTGGCCAATTGTGTATCTGCAGTAGTTGATGGTGGCCCACATGCTTTTTTTACCACCCAGATACCACATGGCCCAACTCCTTTGTGCCCCAAGCTCATTGCTGGTTCTAGACTAATTTAACTAATTGCTCTCAACAAGAGTATATCCTTACTCTTTATTAGCCATAATAGCAGTTGGGTTTGGACCTCCCTCCATAACTTGTATTATATGGCCTTAGATGCTTGAGCCGATTTTCTTCTACAGCTGTCCAAACACCACATGGCCCATTGCTATATTGCATATGGGTTTAGCTAGCAGAAGCTTTAAAGAAGCTTACTATTGTCTGGATGTTAGAAAGGAGGCCCCAATGAAACAAATTATAGCTATCGCATGGGACCTATGGATATTTTGAATGGTTGTGGGGAACTTCATAGGGACTTTCCCAAAATTTTATTTTAGGAAGAAGTATTACAGAGAAAACACACCAAGTAAAGCCTGTCAATGTGTACTTATATACACTTCATATTTATAAGCAATCTGCACTGTATATAATATACATATATATGTCCACGTGTATGGTGTTTTTGTTTCTCATTAATGACTTTGGATTTTGACAGGAAAAGAGAGATGCTTATGTTGATTTTGGATGTGATGATGGGATAAAGAAAGTCAAAGTATCGGAGGCAAGGACCAAACTTGATCACTCTGTGCTTAACCATTTGATCAATTGCGTATCACTATGAATCCATATGTAATCTTGTTGGTGAAATATGATTGTAAATAAAAAGTTGTTGGAGTTGCTGGAGAAATTACTAGGTTTTAATGTTGATGCGTTTTTGATTTTGTAAATTTGAAGTTTTCCATCCAATAAGTTCATGTGCATATGTTCTTGTTATAAGTGTTAGAATTGAAATTAAAAGTAATTTTGTTTTTAGTCATTTCTATTTTTGATATTTCATTATTTTCTGATGTCCCTAATTGTAATTTGCCCCTAATGTAGGCCTCCATATGTGTTCATACATACTCATGTAATTGTCTCAATCTGAAAATAATAAAGCTGGGATTTTCAGACTTACTGTCGTGGTATTTAACATTTGTTGGGCAGAGAAATAAGCTTTGTGAGTTTTTGGGAACAAAGCTTTGTCCACACTCTTAACAAAGTTTTGCTGTAGCTCTTCTTTTGGTTTGCTTTCTTCAGTCATTGTCTTTTAGTCTAGCATCTGGTATAATTTTTTCTTTCTAGTAATTTTCTCTCAGTTCTGTTGTTTTTATAGTGGCCAACCCTCACTTAATGGGATAAAGTTTTTGTTGTTTTGTAGCTTTTATAGATTTTGGCGCATGACTATGCCATTTGTTTGATTCCTTTTCACTTCAAAGACCTTCGAAACTCTACAGAACTTGGTGACTGACCTAACCATGCCAATTGTACTATCATAGGACTTCACGTGTCACTCCACCCTCCACACTCTACTGTAACATTGTTCAAACAGGCTTCATGTGCTGGTAATTGTCCTAATGTAGCCGTCTCCTATAGTGGATCTTCTGCAGTAGTGGATCCAGCCCAATGTGCATCTATGTATACTTCATCTCTAGAGTTTCCTTTCTCAAAGAACAATCCTTTTCCCCAGGGGTTGTCATCAAATATCTCAAGATTATGTATACTGCCTTCATATGTTCCTCTTGCAGACTTCTCTCATGAATTGACTTACCATGCTTATGGGAAAGCAATGTCTGGTCTTGTGTATTAGAGATAGATGAGCTTACTCAACAATCCTTGATACCTCCCTATATCAACTGGAGTTGTCCTATCATTCGGGCTTAACTTGTTAATGGGATTCATGGGTATCTCATCTGGCTTTGCACCCATAATGCCTGCTTCCTTCAATAGATTTAAAGCATATAGAATCCTGAAATTTACCATAAGAAAACACACTTGAAAGAGGTAACATTACAGTTTCCCAAAGGAAATATACTCTAGATCTGTTGAATGAACTAGGCAGGTGAGGGGGCATGATTAATATCTGATAAGCCTGAGAAGGAGCATGATTAATTTAATTTTTAGTATTTTCATTATTAATTCCTAGTGTCCTTGATTGTAATTTATGTCTAGAGTAATCATGTAATTGTCTTATTCTAAAAATGATAATTTCAGAGTTTCAGCTGACATACACATGTATATATTGTTTTTAGTTTTCTGTTTTTTCAATTAAAAGAACATTATATAGCTAAAGGCATCTGTGTCAAATGTAGGTGCTTGATATTGAGGAAATGGCATGGGCTCCTCAGTATGGTTTGAAAGGGATGATTGATGCTTCTGTCAGTGTGAAAGTTCTACCTAAGGGAAATGAATCAGATGAAAAGGTCATGCCATTAGAGTTCAAAACTGGGAAAGCAATGTCTGGCCAGGCAAGATTCTGGTTCATACTACTACTAATCTATGCCATAGAATGTCGGGTTTGATTTATATTTTTATGGGAATGCATAAAACGTCACTCCAAGTTTTCTTGTATGATATTTCTGATGACAATTGCATTTGATATTTCCAGTCATCTATAGAACATCGTGCCCAAGTGATCTTGTACACTCTTCTGATGTCAGAAAGGTGTGTAATCTTTTTCTAGCAAGATATCTATAATAAAATATTTTAAGAAAACGTCCTTTTACTTATTTCGGATGGTTTAATTTTATAGGTACCTAAAGACTATCGATTCTGGTCTTCTATATTATCTCCAGTCAGATCAGACGGAGGTAAGGTCATGTTGATACTAATTAGCTATATCTTTTTAATAAGATGGGTAGTCTTATCATTTTTATGTTGCATGAAGGGTATTGTTGTTCAAAGATCTGACTTAGTTGGGCTAATCATGCGACGTAATGAGCTTGCAAGTGATATTCTGAAAGCATTAACCACTCAACAACTGCCTCCAATGTTACAGGTATGAACTTATTTGACACTTTTACACTTGGTGCTTATGATAACTTGATCAGATGTCACTACCTGTTCTTTCATCTTTCTATTTGTAGAGTCTGAGCATTTGCCGAGGTTGTCGCCATCTTAATGTTTGTAGCATTTATCACAAGGTACTTTACTTGTTCAAGGGGTTTATAAAATTGTTATAATTGTTTCCGTCTCGTTCACTCATATGATAAGTATACTTGAATTTGCTTTCTTAAGATTCCTTTAAATTTAAGTAACAGGATCTGTTCTGACATGTTCTGAAACATTAAGTTGCTAACTGAAATACTACTGGCCTGTCTGGTTCAAAAAATGATAGAGAATTTAACAGAATGATGATTAGAGTATTTGTGTGGTATGACGTTTAGGCAAAGTGAAATAAAATAAATTTTTGATATTTAGTTTGTACAAATAAAAAGAAAAGAATATGTCTCCCTCCTTCCTCTGTTCTTTCTTCCTCTTCACCAATGAACCCCAAAAAGTCATCATTCAGACTTGAATGGAGGACGTAGAAATCATTCACAAAATAATCAACAATGAATTGCAAATGGAATTGAGAAGAACATTATTGCAGAACCAGACTTGAACGAACTCGCAAATGGTGAACCAGATTGATGGAGAAGGAAACCACATCTGGAATGAACTGTCGAACTTGTGTTCAAGGAGAAGCATCAGATCTATGACCAAGATGAACCATTGAACTAGACCTCTCACAAATCAAAACCCAGATTCGGTGAAAAGGAAAAAGGAAAAAGATCCACGGGTCGATGAAAGACAAATCATATCTGTGATGCAAGTGGAATTGTGAAGGTGAAGGAGTTAGAGGTGACTGCCGCTAAGTGGGGAGATCTATGGTGGCGGCGGCGCTGGAGTGGGTCGGAGTTTGATGGTGCGGTGATGTCGAGGTGAAGGTGGTCGAAGGTCGCTACTGGTGATTGGTGACTATGGTAGAGGTTTACTAGCTGTGGTGGATGGAGGAAGAATGGCGATGGAGGTGGCATAAAGAAGAATAGGGAGGGATGGGGTATTTTAAGTTCAATCTGATTTTTGACCTCTGGTAATTTTCATTGATACCTATCTAGATGAGAATGTGTTAATAGAAAATAGAGAAGAAAGTAGAATAGAGATAAAGAAGTAGAACAGAATTGGGAAAGAATGAGGAAGAACAAAAGAGATAGAGGGAACCAGAGAGAGAGAGATTCTGATCAATAGACTTCCGTTATGTCAGATAGGCTATTTACAAATGAGGAGGCATCCTAATGCTGAGTAAAATCATTAAAAGACTGCTAAATGACCTAACTACCTTTATCAGTCAATTGCCATATAAAATAGAAATGTTTTTATTATTTTCATATCAATACCCTCCTCGCAAGAGACTCTTGTCCTCACAGCAAAATCCTTAGGTGCAAATTTCAAAACCAGACAGAAGAACCTTTTCTCTTAAAGTCTGAAAATCCCTTTGGGATAGTAGTATGACGACTGATTATTTGAGCTTTTGACTTGACTATTCACTGAAAATGCCTTTAGCCTATGCTGCTCATTTTCGTCCTTTTTCTTCTTCTTTCTTGTTTTAAAAAGCTAGTACCATTGTTTCAATAAAAAAAAAAAAGGAAGCCGGTACCATTCTTGCGGGTTCCACCATAAGATAGTCAGTTGTGCGCTGACTTGTTCTTACACACAGCAGCTGTAACACTCCCAGGCAACATACTCGCATGTGCAGCAATCCCAATGTGCGAAGAACTCTGAAATATGAGAAGCATCCATACCATGTCCCAAAATGCGAAACTTGGCTATGCATCTCAACCCTTGGCACCCTATAGGCTAAATGAATAGAACCCAACAATGGCTGAGAATAGAACACAACACCATGGAATAAACAGAGGCCAGTGATGAAAGAAAGATAAACCAGTGACGGGAAAGAAATTGGAACCAGCAACCAAGAAGAAATTGAGATGGAAGGTGACAAAATCTGGAGATGACAATGAATTTGAAAGAACCGAATCATGAGGGACCCATGGTGACAGAGGTTTTGCGACAAGAAGGGCCTTCTTTTTTAATTCTTCCTAAGCAACTTGACCCGTAACACTTAGAAGGTGCAAAAATTGAGGGACAACCACTCCATTTGAAGTAGACAATGCTGTTTTTCTTTGGGTAATCTTGTAATCATCTTGCTCGACTGCAAGAACATACCAAGGATCCTTCTTGAAATCATTGCCATTACGAACCAGAGGTTGCTGCACTCTGTCGCATGTTTCTGGGAAGGAGATTGAACAAGACCCGTAATCTTTTGGAGCAGCAACAGTTCTTGCTCATCAATGACCTAGTTTGGGCTTGTTGGGAAAGGAACCGAACCAAATCCATCTTCTTCTTCAACAGAAGCAACTGGGGCATCGTCCAAGAATGATTCTTGCAGCAACAATTTTCTTAACTCTGTCACATCTTCCCTTACAACACTCCACTTTTTAAGCTCTACTGCTTTATTTTTGAGCTCCATTGTTATCTGAGAAAGTTGCTTCATATTTATGATGCTGAGGATGACCAGGCTTTGAATGCCACTGTTATAGAAAAATAGAGAAGAAGGTAGAATAGCGATAGAGAAGTAGAACAGAGTTGGGAAAGAATGAGGAAGAACAGAGGAGATAGAGAGAACCACAGAGAGAGAGTAGAGAGACAGATTGTCATCAATAGACTTCCATTATATCAATAGGCTATTTACAGACGAGGAGGCATCCTAATATTTATAGGAATGCTGAGTAAAATCATTGAAAGACAGCTAAATGACCTAACTACCCTCAACAGTCAATAACCATCTAAATGACATGTACTTTTATTATTTTCGTATGAGAATGATGATTACCAAATTTTTGGTAATCTCATCTATTATGGTAAACGTAACTGCATGAAGAAATACCAACCAAACGCTATAAATGAATGAAATGCATTTGGATTGTGGCTAATCCTGATTCAGGGTATCAAACTAAACGGGCACCATGTTTCTAATATGAATAAACAATAACGTAGGTTAGATTATGATATTTTTCTTAAATCTAGGGAACCTTCATGACTACCGTGCTATATTTTTTTTTAAATAAAAGACTACCATGCTATTTAAAGAGCATAATAGTATCTTCTGCTTCGATTCCTGATCATGATAATTGGAACAATTTTGTGTAATTTGGTATCATTTATTTTAGATTTATGTCTTAGTTAAAAGATGGTGGATCGTTATAAAAGTTGAAAAGCTCATCCATGGTTTCCCCCCATTTTCTAGAAAGTTTCGGTTAAGATCTAAATACCTCTATTTCCATCAACAAGGATTGAGTCTAGCAAAGGGGGTTAATCCCTCACAATGTCATGAACCAAGATTCAAATTTTTGCTAAGAGAGATGTCTACATTTAGTGGCCCAACCGTGCCCCGAATAGGATTGACTCCAATAGGAGGATGCCTATGAACAATGGAAAAATACCTGTATTTCCACATATTTTTATTCTTTTTTAATTAGGGTGTTGGACCTCAAGTTGTAGAAAATTTGATTGTTTTCATGAGGAGTTAATTATTTGTGCCTTAATCATTAAAAATGACATAAATATCTAACTATGACTGTTTTGGAATTTGAAATAACTGGGCTCTACTCATGGATTTTGTTGCACTGGTATATAAAATTTTGAAAATGCAGTTGCATGCAAATTTAGAGAACAGTTAATTTACATTGGACTCCATTCTAATTATCTATATGGATTGATTTTGTTAGAACTATTTTGTGACAATGTTTTTTTTTTTTTGGTCACAACAGTTTTTAGTGGAACACTAGTTCTGAAAATGGAGTTTTTGTGTGGTGATTTGTGTTGATGAAATTGTTGAAAATTTTAACCATGAAATTCTTATTTATTTTGTAAATAGTAGCAGCAATATATGGAACCAAGTATGATACGTGTTAGATGTATTGGTGGATTTTATTAGTATTGTAAGAAATAGAGGAATAATTCTATAAGTAGTTGAGAGAGGGGCACACTATATATGGTGTACCCTTGACTATCAAATAAGTGTGAATGAGATATCTCCTTTTCATTTTTCCTAATCTAACACATTTGGTATTAGAGTGGAGTTTGGCTCATCACACCTCTGGAGGCAAGGCTGCACGAGAATTGGATACCTGGAATAGAGAATTGAAGTGTTTGCAGGACTTTTGGAGAGCACTCAGCTGAAGCTTCATGGAAGTGAAGTTAAATAGAGAGATACTGTGAGAGTGGAAGAGAATTAGGAAATGATTAGTATTGATCATTTTCATTATAGTGTATAATATATACATGGGATTAGGGACTTATGTTTTGTTATTGTTATAGCACTAACTAACAAAGAATCATGACTAACTAACTAATTAAACTACATTATTCTCTAACCTCCCTCAATCATAGTTGGGCGTAGCCCTTTTAATATCTCTATTAAAGTTAGACCAGAATTTGGTGGACATCACTGAGCGGAAGCAAGTCATCAATTGCATCATAACAACAATGGTAGTGGTGGCATCGAAGATTGCTTTGTCGGTGATAGTAAGAATGGTCATGGTGGATAAATTGACCACACATTCAGAAACAATCAAGGATCTGCAACTCCATTATTTCAGGCTGGCTCCTTTAATGGTTTGTACAGAAGTTAGAACATAGATACACCATCAACAAAGCACCGTCATTTGGAGATTTTGAAGTTTGACTGAACAGGCTTTTGTGGCTTTTCCTATCTGTGCTTTCAGTACTTTGACATGGATAATACACCTCTTGCCTGCTGAATTAAGTACCCGAGCATTCATTTAGAAAGGATAGTGTTGAAGTGGCCCATCAATTCTTTGAAGCATTGATCTGTTGAACCTACTTGGGTTGAATATATCAGGCACCTTGAGGCTCGATTTTTGATGTGAATCGATGGTTGAAATCATGAACATGCAATAAGATGGATCAGTTTAGGATTATTAGGGAAGCTTGATGAGCTTGTAAAGGAACTAGATATTTTAGAGAACATGGTTATTAACTGCTACATCAAAGGCTTGAGGAAGGATATTTAGAAGGCTTTTGTGGTGTTCAAGTTAGTTGCAACAGTTCATGCATGCCATGCCATGCACATGGCGGGAGTTCAGGAGGCCTATATTGATGAGTCAGTAGACGCGGTTTGTCATATTCTTCTTTGCAGTCATTGTTTTCATGAGTTTTGACTTTGGAAGTAATTTGACTGTTTCCTTTCCTTCACTGAAGCTGGCATCAAACTCTGTGGGTGCCTTGGGTTCACCAGGGCTGAGATCTATCATGCTCTGCAACTTAGAGCCTTATTCGGCAAATAAAGTAGCTTGCAATGGAATTCAAAGAATAAAAGAAACAGATAATGTGTTTGAAAACCCTTTTAAAGGGAGGCTAGAATTACATTTATTTGTGATAGCAATGTTAAGAGAATCAGACTGAATTGGTTGGTTTGACTGGTACTTCTCCGATCTGATGTAAAGGGAAAACTCAGGGAAGGAATAACTCATCAAGACTCGTAAAACCAGTTGGTCAACTGGTCAAACCATTCTCATATATATATATATATATATATATTTAACGAGTTTGATCCATATTTCTAAGCTATGATTTTTGCATATCTATACTTAATAAACTGTGTGAAAGGAAGAATAATGGGTGCAACTAGATAAAAAATTGTGTATATATTCTAAAATTATAAATTATAAAATAACTATATACAAGTTAGATATCTTGTGTTGTAAACTTATTTAGTTTAATTTTAGTTATAAAATAAGTATATATACATTTTGAATGAAGATTATGGATTGTTCGTTTTTATAATTATGGAGATCATTTCTTTTATTATAAGCATATTATTTAAAATATATTAATTTATTCATGAATGGTTTGACCGTGGTCTGACCAGTGCCAATGGCCTAAACATTGCAAAATAGATTTAGGCTAGTTAGTTATGATAGAGCTGATGTGGGATGTCTATAGTCCATAGAGTAGCTAAATAAAGAAAAGATACGAATAAATACTATTCCAATAAAATCAAAATGGCTTGTGTTGAGTTTCAATATTCTGATCTTGTGACACTGTTTTTATTCCAAGCTTTTCATGATCTTATACCATATCTTGTGTTAGCCTTTTGTCTTGTTAATGTGCTTATTTGTTCATCTTCTGGTGTAATATCTTGAAATGCTTAAGGTACAAGGAGGAAGTGCAATGAGTAGTGGATTGGGAGATGTGTTTGATTCACATACTAATCACCTTTCATCTACTTATTGTAAGTTCCTCTGCCATTGGGATTGGCTGATTGACTTAGAAGCAAAAGAGACTGAGGTATAACTTTTAAGGCAGTGTTCTTTATACTTTCCCCTGAGGTCTCTTCTATGTTTATGTTAGCAGTGTTCTTTATATTAGTTCTTTATGTCTATTTCTCACTCCACTTTTGCAGTTTGTAAAGAAAGAGATGTGGCGATCACATGCTTTTAAAAGTCAGAACAGTACTGGCCTTTCTTCTGTCATCCTTGATGCTTCAAATAATATTCCACATCAGAAATCTCTTAAAGATAATTGTTTCATTTATCGTTTTGTACGATGTGGTCCATCTTCCCTATCTGAAGATGGCGATCCTTCTAAAGCTACAGCAAATTATTTAGATCTGAAACTAAGAAGTGGAGACTATGTGGTGCGAGTTATTTCCTCTTTCTTTTAATCTATTGAATGAGATATATGGTATCCAATTTTTTTTCCCCACACAAAACAAAAGCTTGTGATTGCAGACAGATTAATATTTGACGTGAATGCTGGTATTATTTTGTTGTGATTTTCAGCTACAATTGAGATATGTCTCTATCGTTATTATTATTTTTTGATGATTTGATGAGACTCACATCTTTATTTCAAGAAAAATAACATTGAACATGCATGAAGCAGTGAAGTATAATCAAATCCAAGCTCAAACAGAAGCCTGGAAATCATTTGTCCCTCTTTCTGCTTTTAGCCCATGGTTTCATGTCATTATGCTTTTTCTTTTACCCCAGGTTGTATTTTGATTGGCTACAAGTCTGTCATTGATGGTTTAGCTAGTACGAGATTATTGTTTAATTCCCAGAAAAAAAATGAGTATATTAACTTATTTTGCAAAGGATTATGCATATTATTATTTTTCACTAATTGTCCCATGCTGTTAATTGATTATTTGTCTATTCTGTTTAACATTTTAGATATTGAGCACTGAATCTAGCCGTCAAGCTATTGCCAGTGGGGTGATTACAGATATTAGTCATGCCCATGTTTCTGTGAGTATATTACTTTTGTCTGTTTGATTTTTATCATTTATCCTCTTGCGCTTTTGCATTTGTCATTTACTTCCTTTGCTCTTTTATTAAAGCATTGCAAGGATTAGAAGAAGCAAAATCCTTGCTGATACAGTTATGTCTTACCAACATGACGATTGTTTGTTTATCTTTAAATCTTCTAGGTTTCCTTTTCAAAGCGCCTGCGGATTCCTGGAAGCACCTCCACTAGCCAAGATCTCTATAAACAGGTTTGGAGAATTGATAAGGATGAAGGTGTGACTTCATTTGCTATTATGAGGTGCTTCTCTGGTTATTGCTTTATTCAAATCTCAATTTTCAAGACGTGTGCCAGTATTCAAATTAATATACTTGTATGATTCATTTGTGACTCCTCCCCCCTAAAGGTTTAATCTAGTACAGCTTTTTCTGCAAAATGCTCGAAGTACTCATCTGAGGAAAATGATTGTTGATCTTGAGGTTAGTTACTGCTATCATGTACAATCTCCCAACTTTAGCTTTACTAGCTACTTATTCTGTCCTCCTGCTGGTGTGTTGCCCGCAGGCTCCTAAATTTGACAGTGGATCTGTGCTCAGTCAGGACCCAGCAATATCATATGTGTGGTCAGAGAAGAGTTTGAATGATGATCAGCGTAGATCAATCCTCAAGGTTCCAATTGAATCTGAATTTCCTTCATTCATGCCCTGAATTTATTCATCAAGTCTTTTTTGCAGTTTGACAAAGAATTGACCTTTCTTTGTGACTCTACTCTGCTACTAATTATCAGATTCTTACTGCAAAGGACTACGCACTCATATTAGGAATGCCCGGAACAGGAAAGACATCAACTATGGTTCATGCTGTGAAAGCATTATTAATCAGAGGCACAACTATTTTGCTGACAGCTTATACAAACTCAGCTGTAGATAATTTACTTATCAAATTAAAAGCTCAGGTATCTGTGCTTTCATTTTATCGTAGCTTCTTAAAGCTTGTGATCTTGTTAGAATGCGATCATGAGTTTAAATACTATATCTCTAATACACTCCTTCATTTGCTTGGGTTTGAAACCAGGCTAAGCATAAGCCCACATGTTGAAATTATACATTCATTTATGCTGTGCTAGATGAATTTTATTTTCTTAAAAATCCTTGGGTCGTTAAATAAGTTTGTTGATTACTTGCTAGACTCACTATTCTAACACTAATGCTCATCCCTCTGCATTATATTCTAAAACTATCCAATTCACTATATTACAGTGTGGTTCCTTGTAATCATTCATAGCATGGTGGAACTTAAATTGTAGGGAATTGATTTTGTCCGTATTGGAAGACATGAAGCTGTGCATGAGGAGGTTAGAGGACACTGCCTTTCAGGTTGGCTGATTAGTTGTTTTTACTCTTCCTCATGATTTGGTGTAGTAGTTTTACTTAGTATTGTCACAATTGACAGCAACAAATGTACAAAATGTTGATGAGATCAAAGTAAGGTTAGAACAAGTTAAAGTAGTTGCAGTTACATGTCTGGGCATCACCAGTCCCTTGCTTGCCAACAGGACTTTTGATGTATGCGTTATGGACGAAGCTGGGCAGACAACTCTACCAGTATGTTACATGTTACTTTCTTATATTTTTGAAGTACCTGAGATACTTGTCAGTGGCATGTACTCTATGTACAACTACAGTTTTAAAATTTTTGTTCAGATGAACCCATGAACAGAAATGGATCCTGTAGGACCTTTAAACTCAGTAGAAATATTTTATGCCCCTGAAACTGATTCGTGTCCTTTCTGTCCCTGAACACATGTATTCATCTTGAAACAATTTACCAAAATGGCAAGCCAGTTTGATGTAGCTGTTAAAAATGGGGTATTCTTTATTTCCTCTTCATCCATGAACAGTTCTTAAGCTTCCCTGAATTTACCGGGCATCAGGGACTAGATCCTGCTTTTACTTGGGTGAGATACCTGGGATGAGGGGATAAATGGGTCCATAACATAGCCTGAAGATGAAATATTGTTTCGTACACTGTTTACGTGCTTGTGTTAGATTACATGTGTATGCATTTGTCCATGCAACACTAACTTTTCATGCTTGCTTCTGTTCTTCATTGAAATTGTGCTTCTGTAGTTTCAGTGACAAACTGGTTCCCAATAAGATGATGTTCAGTTAAAACAATTAAACAATTGGATATAAATTTGCTGCAAATTGTTGCTTTGTCAGGTGTCCTTGGGCCCTCTCATGTTTTCCTCAATGTTTGTACTTGTGGGTGATCACTATCAACTTCCTCCGCTCGTCCAGGTATTGGCCTTGTATTATTATTAATGTCTTTTTGGTATAAAACTGTGGGTAACCTTTTTAAATTTGTGTCAAATAATTCCTAGAGTGCAGAGGCTCGAGAGAATGGTCTGGGGATAAGTTTATTTTGTAGGCTCTCAGAAGCACATCCACAAGCAATTTCAGCACTACAGAGTCAGGTATTTTTATGATTTTAAAAACATTTGTTTCTTTTACTTCCATTATCTATGTAATTATTTACTAATTTGAAACAAATACAGTACCGTATGTGTCAGGGCATCATGGACCTGTCAAATGCCTTGATATATGGTGATAGGTTAAGGTGCGGTTCCACTGAGATTGCCAATGCAAAACTTGCGTTTTCTACCTTAAAATGTGCCTTGCCTTGGCTAAAAAATGTAAGGCTACTATCTTCCAGGTTCTTATTGTTTTAATTTTTGATGGATTTACATTTGTCACAGGATTTCATTTATTCAACAAGCTTCTCATTGATGGAAGTTATTTTTAATTTTCTTTCCATACGATCTTTCTTTTGTATCATTGATTTTACCTTTCTTTTTTCCAACACTGACCGTCTTCAAGAGTTTTTGCCTCATTTTCTTTTTGGCGGTCAATTGTTTTTGCATGTGTACGGGTTCCGTGGATGCAAATGCAAACTCTTGAAATTCGTTAAAAGAGTTGCCTTGCTACATAGTTCTCGTCCTCACTTGTCAATAGTGAGGCACATAATATTGACTGAAATTCTGGTAGTTTGATGCTTATCTAAAACAGCATAAACTGGCCAATGCTGGTAAGAAACTAATGATAGTAGGGTGCTGAAGTGAATGCAACAATATATTTTCCTAAAATGAAGGGTTCGCATGGAAAATTAAACAGCGATTGGAGACTCCATGGATTGGCTTTGACTCAACTCTGAAGTAGGCTTTTGTTTGGCATTTCTTGTTATATTGTGTTTCTTTGTGACGGTGAAGCTTGATATTAAGCAAACCTTAGGGACTGCTAGAATGAAGTGTGTATCATTTAGATTACAATGAGCATGTTTACTAGTTGGATTTGATTGTACTATCTGAAATTTTATACATCCTTCCAAGTTATCAATTATAAGTACACAAATGGGACTTGGCTAAGCAAGCCAGTGACTCCATATAGAATATTGGTGATATTCAATCTTCAAATTGCAGGAAGCGTTGTTTTATATTTGTTGCCTTTCACAGGGGTTAGAAAAAATTTAGATTTGTGTAAACTTAAAGTCACCGAAACAATTTTCTCTAAAAGCTGATTTTTCCTTCACAATTGACTATATTTACAAGGATGTGAACTTTCCTTTTTTTTTTTTTATGTTGTATTATACAGGTTTTGAATCCATGCAGGCCAGTGATATTTATTGATACTGGTATGTAAAGATGATGTTTCTTCTTTAATCATGTATGCTCATTGTCATTTTAGAATAATTAACGGAAATTTAATTAATTCCAACTTAGATAAATTGCCCGCTATGAGGCAAGAGAACAGAAGGCTATAAATAACCCTGTTGAAGCTCACATAATTGTTGAGGTATGTCTCAAGACGATAAATCTACTCTTTTTTTGGACCGCAATTTGTTTCATAATTCAAGCCATCTGACTTGCTATAAATTTTTTCCCCTGTTTGTAATGTAGATAGCTAAGGCACTAATAAAAAATGGAATTGGAGAAGAACATGTTGGCATTATTACTCCCTACAATTCCCAGGCAAACCTCATCCGTCAAGCTGCTTGCATGACATCGTTGGAGATTCATACCATTGACAAATACCAGGTCCGTCTTTGGCATATGTTGAGGCCTAGCATGCATTACTCTACTTTTTACAATTAATTCTCCTGTGTAATTCAGGGCAGGTTTGTTTAATATTAACAAACAAAAAGTGATTCTTGATTAAGCTACAAGAGGAAGTTTTTGGAAGAACCGTGAGTTAAACATGATGGGTTTAAATAAATGGGCTCTCAATTTAAAATATTCCCAATGACTCCCTCATGTAGCTTAATTAAAATCACTTGTTTTTATTAAGTTTAAACAAAGGGGCTCACAATTTAGCATTTTACTTATGTCAGGCGTCACTGAGTTGTTTCTGCCTTTTCTTTTTAAAATATTTTGTTGTAGAAAATGCAAGTGTCATTGATCTGGTTTTCTCCTCTTCTCCAGGGTAGAGATAAAGATTGCATAATAGTATCTTTTGTGAGGTCCAGTGAAAATCCATCAAGCTGTACTTCTTTGCTTGGAGACTGGCACAGGATAAATGTGGCTCTCACACGTGGCAAGGTATTTTATGCTTTTTGCTGTAACACCTCACCTACAATTAGATAAAAAAATTGGCTAAAAAGATTTGTGGGACTTTTAAAAGTTAATCATTTTATCTCCGAAAATTTTTTGTGGTGCATTTTGAACCAATTTCTTAAGATTTTTTTATGGTGTTTTTAGTTTTTAATTTTGTTCAAGTACTTGAATACACTACGCTGGACCCGTTTAGACACTGTATGTTGAAAATTGTACATCCAAAAGAGAGGCACGGACAATGAAATAGTTTGATAGTACAAGTCTTCTTTGTAAGTTTTAGTGTGGACCTTCACTATATGGAATTTTTTTTTTGCCAAATTTTTGATCTGGAAAAAAAAAATTCTAATTCTATTATTCAAATATGTTTTATTTACTTTCTAAGAGTGCAACTTTGTCGTGCATGCACTAGACTTTATAAACTGTATATTATTTTATGCATGTGGCTTGTCTTTTGAGATTAAGCTTCTAAATGTGTGCAGAAAAAGCTGATCATGGTGGGTTCTTGTAGAACTCTATCAAAGGTTCCATTACTGAAGCTTCTCATAAAAAAGGTTGAGGAACAATCAGGTATTGTTAGTTTGTCTAAGAAGGATATCTATCAAAAAGGAGAGCTCAAAAGGTGCTCCCAGATGAGATGACCACAATTCATTGCCCAAAATTCATTGCGCATAATTATTTAGATTCTTTTTTTTTTTTTTAAGATTAAGGTTCCTATTGTACAAAGGACTATTTTTCCTTTTGTGATTGACAATGATAACTTCTATCCTACTTGATGGGATCACATAATATAGATAGCACGATGTCATTGTTTTCTGTCATTTTTTTTTTGTTCTACTCAAACATCCTTTTGTAATTGATCAATAAATGTAAATACAATCCAATGAAAAGCATTTTTTTCTCCAATCTCATTATCCATCTTTTAATTAGTTAGTTCAGGAAAAAGGGGAAAACATCCTTGGACCTGATTCCAAGTCCATTTTCATCCATATATTCACTAAAGTTTACAATGTCAGGGGTAAATCAGAAATATTAAAAGAAGAAAAGTCAGCGGGAACAAAACAAGCCATGTGGACCACATTTTTTAATAGTACAATTGTGAAGTTGTCCAAAAGCTTCTAATATCTTGATCGATGAGTAGGTGGTGGAAAGAACAAAGGCAAACACTTTTGTTATAGAATCTCAAATTTCCAAAGCTTGTTCCCTTCCAAAATGATTCTAAGAGAAGTTATTGATCCATAACAGGATATTGCGAACACAGAAGGCCAAGAAGAGATGTTACTAATAGCATCAGATTTATTAAGAAGCAATTTAATCCAGCCTTCATTATTGAGAGAAAGATACAGCATAGTAAGTGTTTTTTTCCTTTTAAAAATATGCTGTTACAAAAATAAGTAATTTTTTTAGAAAATCTTTTTAATTTTGATCTTTTAACTTTTGAATAAGTAGTTTGTGATAGATATCAAACAAGAAATTCAAAGTATCTTAAATTTTTTGTTGCAATACTTGATAAAATTTGTTAGTAATTACCTAATTTCTTTCATCAAATCTTAATAATGTATTACAAACATGTAGCATCACTTCATTGAGAAAAAATAAATTGTTGTGACAACTATATCTTCAAAAATTGAAGTAATTGTACTATATATATAAAAGACTATATAAAGAATCGAAATAATAACATATCATTTATTATCTCCATGCCACTATAATGTGTAACTTAGCTTTTTTTTTTGTTTGAATCTCATCATTTCAACTAATTAGCAATTTGAAATGAAAAAATATCTTGTAATTAATCGTTATGCTTACACACCATTAACTTTACCAAAAAAAGATAAGAGTTATTTATAATTAATAAGCTAAACAGTATACATAATATTTTAGTGAGTCAAAAATGTATACAACTCCTACATTTTATTTAGAATAAAATTAAAAGTTAGGGGGTCATGGCCCTTAGTTCCCCTTATCCTCACCACTAGTTCTGTTTCACTTATTTAACAAATATTAACAATTTAGTACAAGTTTAACAACATTCTAAAGCAACTTGTACTGTATCTGTAACTAGTAGAAGCAAAGAGAATTCAAATTTCCAAAGGTCGGAAATCATGGCGAATACTTGCATGCCATATTTGAGTGATATCGAAAATGGTACAGCCACACTCATGAACATTCCATTCGTCCAAGGCATGTACTTTTCCTGCTATTCGCCAAGCACTCACTTCTCTCCTTGGTAGCCAATTCTGTGATTTGGGACCAAAAGAAGTTAATTGGTGTATTGAAGCGCTAATTATAATGTTAAAATATTAATCATTATTTTTTTATTGATTATATTTAAACAGCTTAGTAAATCTTACTATCCATCGCGCACACAACCTATAAATATATGTATGTATGTATGTATGTGCGCGATCTTTTTACTAGGGAAAATGATAATTAAGGATCCCATGATATCATTAATTATGATTAGAGACCCTAAATTATTGAAATCTTAATAATAAATTATGGTGCTTACTAGGAAATTACTATCATATGTTGGAAATTATTGTTAATTTCAGTGGGGAAAAACTCATTCACATTTGGGAAATATGTTATTTTCAATATAAAATTAAAATTACTTGTGAAACTTTTGAAAGGCACTTGTGAATCCATTGTGGTCACTTGAAAATTTATCAAAATTACTTGAATATGAAACCAATCACTTGTGGAATTTTTTACTTGTCAATATATTGGTAAATTACTTTGAAAATCAAGCAAAGACATTATTGAAATTACTATCTTGGGTTGAGACTATTGTTATTATAAGTTGGAACTATTGTTAATCCTGTTCTTATGTGTGGATCTTGGTTTTTCTAGTTGAAATAATTAACAATAATTCCAAACCATAATACTAATTTCAATACTTGAAGGCAATTTTGTAAACTCATATTTTTAATTTCAAGTAAGGACTATTGTCTATTATTGAGATTTCAATAATTCAAGATTCCTAATTGTAATTAATAGTCATATGAGGTTATTAATTGTCATTTTCCCTTTTCACTATGTAGATATACTCAAACTAATTTGGATGAAGCCGAATTGAGACTTTGTTG